AGAGAGAGAGAGAGAGAGAGAGAGAGAGAGAGAGAGAGAGAGAGAGACTGCCCTTTCAAGATGAAAGTAGAGGAGAAACTTGGGGGAGAGACACAAAAAAAGAAGTTAGTGAGCGAACGGAACGGGGTGTTTTTTTAGACTACATCAGAGATAGAATTACAGAAACATAGTCTATGTGAGACAAACAGGAAAAGAAAAGAAAGCAAGTAAGTAAACAGAAAACAGTCATGAAAAGTAGACAACAGACACAAGGAAATGAAATATAGAGAGAGCTAAGGCAAGAAAGAAATGAAAGAGTGGCAATAAATGATAGATAGGTAGAAAGAGAGAGAGCAAAGGTGAGACAGAGGGTGGTGTGAATAAATAACTAAGACCTCATCATAACATATGTGCGGTATATTGTATATTCCACTCAGAAACTGCCTTAAGGCTACACACTGTATGCCGAAAGACAAACGGTTAAAAGGGAAAATAATGACAGGAACAAATGTAGTTTTATACATTAGTTTTGCAGTAGACTGTGATTTTATGGGAAGTAGAGTTATGAGACATGCTTTCTGACACTATGATTCAAAATATACGACAAAATACACATTAGCTGTTAGCTAAGCATATATGCACTTATCATGATCTTGTTTTATGCAGTTATGCATCAACAACAGATCATTCTCTCCAAACAAACAGCCATATAGGTCATCTGTGCAAGCAGCATATTACGATTTACATTTATTGATAGGCGGTGTCCTATGGTGGCCTTTACGTAGAGAGGAAGTCATGGTGGATGGTTTGGTCAAACAAACTCATAACATTTACCCAGGAAAACGCTGTTTGTGTCCTGTGTGAAAACAAAAGCCAAGCTAGGCCTATTTTAACTTATGTACTTAAGTTACCTTACCTAATGTACTTACTTATATAACCTAAGTTGCATAACATACTGTACTTATCTTAACCCAAACCATGATCTTTTCCTAAACCTTACCAATTAATTGTGTTTGAATTCACAACATTAACCATATGTTTAAAACTGACATTTCACAATGTGCGCCTGTCGCTGGTCGTCCACTCTCCATCATATACAGTATGTTGTTTTCGGAATTGTTGACAAAAAACCTTCTGTTGTGTAAGTATGAGGACGTGTTGAGCAACACAGAACTACACGTCAGAGCTCAATGCTTTGCTCTCTGTTGGCAACTGAGCATGTGCACTTATCTCTCAAAGAGGACCTCAAGGGGACCTTGGCTGGAGTAAGTAATGGAATATAAATTGTTTTACACTTGCAACTGCTGGCCAGTGTGCAACTCCACTGGAGCAGTTGGGGCATTGCGCTCCTATGACACTGTCATGATGGACAGCAGAGAGAAAAAGCGCTGCTCTTTCACTTTCCCCACACAGATTTATCCTGTCGTTCCAGGGAACTGGCGACCTACTAGTCACACGCTTCTCTAACCTTGAGTTCACCACTGCTGCCCTAATTAATCCTAAACTATTTGGCAGTGAAGGTTTAGCTATTATTTGTTTAGAAAATATTGTAAACCTGCGTGTGTATGTGTGTGTGTGTTTGTGAGTTATATCTCACATCCTGTTTCTCTCTGCAATATATACAATGAAACACACACACACACACACACACACACACACACACACACACACACACACACACACACACACACACACATAGTCAGGCACAACAAACAGAAACATAGTAAACACACACAGGCACACATGATACTGTATAAACCTATTTTCAATTAGCTGCTTGAAGGACAGAGCGAGGGCAAAGAGACAATATTAGATTTGTGAGAGAGAGAGAGAGAGAGAGAGAGAGAGAGAGAGAGAGAGAGAGAGAGAGAGAGAGAGAGAGAGAGAGAGAGAGAGAGAGAGAGAGCACCTCAAGAATTTAACATGAATTTATTTGAAAATGTTTGTGGCCCCGAGTCAGCTCACTGATCCCAGTAAGCTACCTGGCAGATTCACACCCAGTCTGTTATAATCAGTCTTCCTTGTTCTGACTGATTCAGCATTTTCCATTTGTTCTACACTTCTTGTGGGACCGAAAAGAAAAGTCCTAATAAATATAAAATGTGGAGGTTGTCACCTCTTAGATTGCTGACCCAGCAAGATCTTAATGTCGGCTACACTGGCAGAGAGGTTGCTTCTGGTCTCTGCTTACCTCTGTGTCCTCCTCTCTGTAAGCTCTCCTCTCTGTCTTTTGTTGTGCTACCTCTGAAACTTAGACCCTACTAATTTTCCCTGCTGTAGTTTCTCTTTCGCTATGCTGAAGAGCTTGAATATGTTGGAAGAGATTTGTCGTCTGCCATTAGAAGACCCTCTGAAAGTTCCACTGATGCTCCAACATGAACAGCAGTCTTTGATGTTTTGTGCTGTACAACAAGAAAGCAGTGGTAAAGCAACAATATCCAATTCTCTTGCAAAAAAAAGAAATAAAGTGTAGCGGTGTGCTAGTCATCTCAGCAATGAGTCTAGTTACCCTGATGTTTTAAAATGTCTCTTGTTCTTATTCTCTCTTATTCTAAACCCATCTCTCTAAACTTCAGCTCAGCTCCTCCCCCTTCTCTTCCTCTCTCATGGGTGAGTCTAAACAAGGGTGATTTATTATCGTGCTCAGTTTCTCCTTTCCTGCTGAAACACCATCACTGTCAAAGTCTCAGCACAAACACTCAGACTTGCTAACATTTTACACCTCCCAGCACAGGTGACTGACTCAAACACAGAACACAGAAATACAAGTACACAAGTAAATACACTCACACAGTCGCACAAATGATGTCTAGTGGATAGTCTAGTGTACCCTATGCTAAAGGAGATAAAAAAGGAAGCATTAAGGCACCTTTCCTCAGCATAGAGCATTTAACCAACATCTTATCATGGCTGCCACTTACATCCTTCCTCGTCATTTCACTCAGATAGGAACCTTTCTAAGCAAAAAAGACTATTCGACCACAGTCAGTCTTTTTTTTTTTTTAACACTCAAGACAGACTCAAATACATTCTAAAACATGTACGAATCTAAACAACAAAACAATACATGCTAAGGAAAAACAGGAAGTGTGAGACATAATTTCTGCTTTCTTTCTTGCTAGCTAACTGTGTTAAGTCATCGAAACAATGTGATATTATGAAAAGCAATATCAAAGGAAACATCAACACACTCATGACTGTTGCTGACCAACAACATGAGGCTATTCAACAATCTTGGAATAGAATAAAAATCATATAAAAAAAGAAGTAGAATCATTCTTAAAATCTGAAAGAGCATTTCTCTTTTGCCAAATTTAAATTGATTTGATAATTCACACTGTCAATCCTACAAAGACAGACCAGAATACATGAAGGCTCTTCTGCTTAATTTATTCCTGACCAGTAGGACAAGATAACGAAACAATTCAAGAGATTGTACAAAGTCACTTCCACCTACGACTCCATGTCTCTGCATCGGACTCAAGTCAAGCACTGGATACAAATATTAAGAGGGATAGGGAAACATATTGGGGGAGTGGGGGGGGGGGGGGGGGGGAAAAAAAGGGGAGAAAAAAAAGGGGAGAGAAAAATAAGGAATAAGTTGTGTGTGTGTGCGTGTGCGTGAGAGAGTGAATGAGAGTGAAAGAGTGAAGGGGTAGTGGGGGTGTGTGACATAGAGTCCCCAGAGTTCTAATTATCACTGTATGAATTATTACATCTGTAGAACACATTCATACACACATGTTAACATGCACATACACACACACACACACACACACGCTTACACCTCTGGATCTCCCCTGCAGTCTCAGCTCTCCTGCCTCCCTCCGTACACCTCGAGACCACACTTCCCCTGAGGCTTTTGTCCCTCCTACCATCTTCCTCTCTTGTCTACTCATGATCCCTCTCTTCCTGTCTTCTCCAAAAACCTCTTCTTTTATCTCCATTTTCAGTTTGAATCACTCGTGCTGTTTGCGTCGCCTTGACTCAATACTTTGTGTCCTACCTCGCTGCAGTTGAAGAGGATATTTAGCTTCCCCCTCGATACCAGATGGTTATCAAATCCAAGAATTCTAAGTTGATTATCGTGTCCTCATGGGGAGCTATTATGGGGGAAAACAAACTTCACAAAGTCTCTTTGCAGTTTTAGATTTTAATTGATTCCTGCAAGCTACAAAGGAAAGATTTTTCTTCAGTTTGTCGCTTAAATGAGCACTTCAACTGTTGGGGAGGAATATATGTATAAAGCGCTACAGACTATCTGTCAGTCCCTGCTAGTCTACAGGAGACTAGAATAGAAGATAGGAGCCTGTATGTTTATGTTGAACACATTATCTCAGAAGTCAGGTATTGTCAGTGGTTGATAGCTAACAAGGTCACATTACAGAAGGCAGTTACACAAGCCGAAAAATGTAAATGTTGTTCCTGACCTGCCTGTCAGACTCAAAAGATAAATTAATCTGCACGCTGGTAGCCTGTTACCATTTGTTGTAATCATATAGGACCAGAATTAATTTATTCAGTTTCCATGGTAATATTTGCAATGTCCTCGTGGGAGAAGTAGTTATACAGATTTTATGTGTGTCACACACACACACACACACACACACACACCCACACACACACACAGTCCTTTTGGGGACATTACATTGACTAACATACATTTTCTAAAGTTTACCCTCACCATAACCGCTACCAGCCTAATTATAACCTTAACCCCTACCCTAACCTTAAACCTAAAAAAAAGACCAAAAATATTACCATTTACAACACACACACACACACACACACACATACACACACCTCTACACGTAGCTTACCTGGTACGGATAGAGTGTAACTCCTCCATTAGTTCGGTTCAGGTGCTGATGGGCCTGCAGAGCTGTTGTACTCAGTACTGCTCCACTTCCGTTACCACTGTTATTGCCAGGGCTGTTTACTCTCGTCACTAGTTGGACAACAGCTTTTCCTGAACTGGGGGATCCATTCCTTCTGTCCACCCCACCTCCAAGCCCCAGGGAACTGGGCTTGGACCCCGATCTGTGCCCTGGGCCTTGAGGTTGTGGGTTTGTGGGAGCACAGCTGGACGTTTGTCCCATGGAGGGACTCCTATGGCTGGGGTTGGATGGTCCGTGGCTCGGGCTGGGCGTTGGGGTCTGGCTGGGACTTGGGGAAGGTGACTGGGAGGACGAGTGTAAAGCGGCAGCAACAGCTGAAGAAGAAGAGGAAGGAAGAAAATCAGGAATCCACTCCCGTGAACCAGGACCACCTGGTGCTCCAGATGCTCCCGTTGGACCCAGTCCTTGAGATCCATATCGTCCAATGAGGGCCGGAGGCGAAGAGGGGGGAGACAAATCCCACTGGTCAAGAGTGAGGACCATTCGCACGGCTTCTTGTTTGAGCTGCGTGAGGTGGGTGGCGCAGACGTCACAGCGACTGTCACGTTCGTTCCACGCCCGCCAAGAACTGTTGGGCACCTGAAGCTTATCATGAAGGAGGAGAGAGAAGGAGGGATCCTGAAAAGAGAGAAACAGAAAGCCAAGATTTATACTGATGTCTGGAGGATTGAATGAGAGTAAAATGAAGCAAGAGCAGCATGTTTTGAGCTGCACTGGAGAATGTATCTAAAGAAAATTGAGAGGAGAGGAGAGGAGAAGAGAAGAGAAGAAATGATAGGCATGTTGAACAAATCATGACTATGAATATTTATAGAAAATCCAAGAAACATAGCCTTATAGCCTTGGGGAACATGTGTAGAGAGACACACACACACCCAGAGAAGGACATGCAAAAGCAAGTCCACACATAAAAATGCACACACACACACACACACACACACTCTCTCTCTCTCTCTCTCTCTCTCTCTCTCTCTCTCTCTCTCTCTCTCTCTCTCTCTCTCTCTCTCTCTCTCTCTCTCTCTCTCTCTCTCTATTCTTCTCCCTTCTTTCCTTCTCAGCATTTTTCTACAGTACACCCTGATACTGTGTGGGATTAGTGCATGATGTGACTTTGCATCTTTTAATCATCTGTAAAAAATCAAGGTGCAATAAATACTGATAATATAAAAGCTCAAACAGAAGGCATTTTACATTCAAGAAAAAATAATTTTTGCTTGACCTTCAATTTCTAGCCAAATTAAATTTAGTTCCCATAAAATGGCAATAGAAACTACTTTAATGAGAATTTAAAAAAAAAAATGTTTTTAAAGAAGATTACCAACCCTGCCTTCAAAAAGGTAATTTAATTGCAGGAACATTTTTTGAAAAAGTGAGTTCTTCAGATAATAATTTAATAAGTTGTGTCTAATTAAACACCATGTGTTCTGCCTCCATTGGTCTTTTAACAGTCTTTTAGCTGAGTTTATTTATTTTTACTCACAGTATCTCAAACTACATTGTTGTTGTTTTTTTAACATATATTAGTATATGTAAATCTTCTTTATGAAAATTCAGTTGTTATAGTTGTTACAGCAACCGATCATAATGATTTCTCAATAACCTGCATGTCCTCTTCTAAAATCATATTCATAAAATCACTCTTTTATCATAAATCTAAGAAAGCCAGCCTTTGTATTTCAAAATTATGCAAGTATGGTCTTCGCCCCAAAACGACTTGGTCCTGATTCAGATAACTGTTAATAAGCTGCACTTTTTGCAGGTTTAAGCATAAGACCTTGTTGCTCTGACAACAGTTTTAGATGAATTTCCTGGTCTGGAAAAAAACAAAAGATCTGAGTGCTGCTGGCCGTTGCAGCGCCACAGAAATAGGGCCCCTTATATGCACAGGCCAACTGTCCAAAGTAATGGACTATAGAGGCTGCCCAAAGCGTAAGATCATGTGTAAGTGGTTTGTAGTATTATGAGATTGGTCACAGTGTGTAGAAAGTGCCAACTTTTCTGGTGCATTACTTTTCTTCATCAAGATTTCATGGTCAATTAATTTAAGGCTCAAACAGCTTCTAAACACTCCCACAACTACAGTTGTTCCACTTTCACCACCTTCACATATGTGTGCTGCTACCGGAATGGACTCTTGACACAACAGTCAATATGTAGCTGCAGTGAGTATGCACATATGTGAATGTGGGAGACTGTTTTAATTCTGGCAAATTCACCTTTTCTGGTGAGTACAGACTGCCAGGCTTGCTGCTTCCCATGAATGGCCAAATATCAACATTCAAAAAAGTTATTTTTTAAAAGTGTGACACAAACCACAAATGCAATCTTCTTTTTCATTTGGATAAAATATCTAAACAGAAAAAAAGAATTACAAAAATAAATACATAGTGTATAATTCTCTCTCTCTTTTTTCCCCTTATGTTGGTCCACTGTGTGTCTCCCTCTGTCTCTCTGTCGGGGTTTGGCTGGTGAAGTTGTGTGTATGCGTGTGTGTGAGCAATCACTGTGCTTTCTTGTGTGCGGAAATTCGGAAATTTGTCCCAATTTGTTTGCGCTGTTATCTGTGCCTGTAAGCATGAATGCATGTGCGTGTACAGGTATATGTTATGTGTGTGTGTGGGCCTGTGTTTTTCCAGACTAATTGGAGCCACTCGCACGGAGCAAAGCTGCTCTAAACCTCCTGCCACGACTCTCTGGTCAAAATATCAAAGTTAACAAGCAAACCACACGAACACACCCTGATACACATCTGTGTCTAAAGCTCATTTGACCCCCTTGAAAATATTTTCTCAGTTTTTTCCACAAGGCATTAAGCACTTTATTTGACAAAAGGTCATTAAAAGAAATAGTTTTTCCATATAAACGTCTGACTTTACTCGAGGCCCTTTAGATTCATAGTGGGATTTAAATGACGTTGTGGGCTAATTGTCAGTGTAGGTGTAGCATTAACGTACTATCAGCGAGCGTGTGTCTGCTTATGAACTCTATACTTCATCAAACCCTCTGTGGTAGCTCACTTGATAACTGTAATTATCTTCCTGCGTTCAACCAGCCTACCTCTTCTGTAACACTAAGGCCAGGTATCTGTGTAGGCCCTTGCTCCTTTCTGCACAAGTGATAGATACAGCAAACTGAGTGTATGGTTACATGTATAAATCATGTAACCATCTAACTTGGGTTAGACAGTCAAGACAGTCTCCACAAGAATAAAAAGTGTCACTTTTTAAAATAATTTTATGTTATTCTGTGAACAATCCTTTTCTGTTTTCTGAAACAGCTTTCTCTTGAATGACCGCTATTACCAAGCGCTTCTGCGTCTTAAAAACAGAGCCATTACAATCACCATCTTCTCAAAAACAGTTAGCCTAGAAAATATTCCACATTTACAGCTGCATTTTCAATTTGATGAATTAAACAACAACAAAAAGACAACAGTTAAACCGTTAACATATGATGTGTCAGAATAACAGCATAAAAACAATAGCCAATTACACATGTCCATCCATACTAGTAAATGCATTTCTCTAACCAGTTGTTCAACATACTGAGGCTTTTATTCGAAACAGTGCATGGTGCCAGGGAAGATGTTGTGCATGTGCAGTATTAATCAAAGTGATGGGAAGGCACTCTTTGTTTAGTGAAGCTTAATCAATACATGAGTTATGAAGCATGTGTATTCGCGTCCGATCAATAGGCATGTGATGGACGCGAGTTAGCTCTCAGCAGATTTAGATAATCAGACATTAAGATAGAGAGACAGATGATTGACAGGGAAGACAGAAAAACAGAGGGACCTGTGGGTATAATTGATTGAACAGGCAGCTTTCTTGCCAACATACATCCCATCACCTGTTTCCATGGTTTTATATAATTAACTGATTCTTTGACCTCTTCTACAGCTTCACCACTATTGCAAAAAACATTTTAATTTTATCCCAGAAGTCTACCGAACTGTAGATCTAGATTTGTGTGGGTGTGTGGTCAGCGTCCTTGGTGGCCCAAATGCTCATGATGTAATGAGAGCCTGTGAGAAAAAGAGAGTGAATATAGTATGTGTCTGCCACACAAATAAGCCTCTATCAATAACTAGCCTTTTAGCTTTCCTCAATCAATACACCGTCTGTATGTGTCCACACAAAGCAATATTTCATTTAATAGTAAAGCCTCTCAATGAGAGGGCTGCCTGCTAGGCTATGTCAACAAACCACAAAACCACAAGATACACACACACACACACACACACTCAAGGCAGGAGCTCAAACCTTGGCGAGCAACTGAGTGGTTTGTGTGTGTGTGTGTGGGTGTGTGTGTGTGTGTGTGTGTGTTTATGGATAAAGGCTACCTTGTTACTCGGGCAAACTAAGTAGCACAACGAATAGAATGTGGTTTTTAAACATACACAGAAAGTACGCGAGCATACAAACATATTGCTGGCTGGCATGAGACCCCGCACACACACACACTTCAGGCTACATAACATAAGCTAACAGTGTGTGTGTGTGTGTGTGTCTCTCTCTCTCTCTCTCTCTCACTCACACACACACACACACACACACACACATTTTTGCTGAGTGACACGCATGACAGGAGGCAGACTGGAGGAAAGAGAGCTAAGGTAGAGGCAGATTTAAAATGCAGACCATTTATCAATGCATTTGTTCAATTTTCCCCTGTATGTTCAATAATTGTCCTTAGCCAAGGGGTCATGACACATTTTCTGCTGGTTACAATAATTGTGTCTTTTAACACTAAGGGAGGGAGCAGTAATGATAACACCAGTGATAAAGACGACAGAAACAGTTTGCAGTGCTCTAAAGGAGTTCTTTGTGTGCGATTAAAATGTTCCCTCTGGAAAGAGTCCGTTTCTCTTCATTTCTGAAGCTGACACTAAAAGCTTTAATGTAGATGGCAGAAAATTGCTCTTATTGGGAACTTTATTGTAGCTGCACTAAAAGTATGTCATGGCATGTCGTACACCAGTGGCCACTTATGGAATCGGAGAGATAATTCCCCATAGAAAAATAAGGAGATGAGCGCTGCAACATGTGCACTCCAATGCACTTGCGGACTCGTAAGCCCAACAGGTCTGTGTGTAAAGATTTAAAGGGAAGCAGTGGGTTTAGTCGTATTATGGTAAAAAATATGGAACACAGTTGAAACACAAAGAGGACAAGTGTATTGTGTTGTAGAAGGGGTTAGAGATTTTTATATTATGGATGATTTTACTGTAAGAATCCAGTGTTAGTGTTGTTTTATTTAACAACATTTAATGAAGAGTTATGTAAAATGTGTTTCAGACAGATAAAATAACCTACTATGAGTAAACTGTGAATCCTCTAATGAATGCTAAATAGTAGTCCTGATTTTCCTATTTGGAAGGAATTGGAAAAGTCTGATTATTCTGAAAAAATTGTAGAAATAGGAACATTTAATCTCTCCTGGCTTCTTTCTACCCCACTATATATCCCTGTCACACACACTCAAACACACATGCACAGCAGACAGGCTACCAAAGAGCAATTAAGTCGACATGGTGTACGGTCCTTGAGATGAGGGCCTTGTTGTTCTGAATTAGCTGAGATTTGGGGAGCAGCCAAGCTGCCTGATTGAAATGAGGA